TAGACAAGATTTGAGAGACCTTATCTCTTCAACTGTGGAGCTTTTAGATCAACTTTTATTGCCCGGTAGTAGCAAATCCAGCTCTATCTAACCCTGTCACAAACTGCCCCAAAACTTATGAAGTGGGGAAATGGAACCTTTTCATCAAGAGTGTAGATTTCGTCAGTTTTGAGCGGGGTTTCGGCAAATCTGACTCACGACTAAACCGCGCTGCAACTGAATGCTTAATGCAGGAGGGGTCGTATCAAGACCCCGATCTGATGGGGTGTCTTACTGATGCGACCACGTCCTCGACACGATTTTCACTCTGCTGCCACCTCTTATTCTCTGGATACTGTCGGTGATCCCTTTTTCACTACTCACCATGTCATTCTGCAACGAAATTGTCCCTTCCCGTGCAAAATATCAAAGGAAGCGATCACGCCGGCTACGAGATGGAGCTGCTACCTAGGCCTTATCAATCGATAAAGTTCGAGAAATATGAAGGCTGGACGAGTGTGCCTCCTATTTCGGAAAACGAGAAGAGCGTCGAGTGCAGACCACACACCACAAGTGACGACGGCCAAGAAAAAGTGGCTTTTTCTTTCTTTTTTTCTTGGCCGTCGTCACTTGTGGTGTGTGGTCTGCACTCGACGTTCTTCTCGTTTTCGAAATAGAGTGTGACTCCGTGGAAGACACGACAACATAAAATAAGAAGATACGGCGCCTTAAGGTGAAGTGCTCCTTAGAATGAAAATCGGACGATAACGATAACGATATCATGTGTAGTACGCTGCCACTGTAACGTACTACACGTCCCATGTATGTTTGCCCTGTGGAATCAAAATTGGTACGGCAAACGAAGTTGGAATATACCCACTTCTCTGGAAGGTCCGGTGAAGGGTGAAATGCGTCTACAAATATTCTGTAAATCTGAATACTATCACTACTTGTTTTTGTTTGTTAACTGCTGTTTTGGCCGCAGTTCGCCTTGCGAATGTTTCACAAGAATGCTGGGTTGTGAACAAAACTTTCGCCCCAGGCGGGACTAGAACCCGCACCTCTCGCTTTCCGGGCAAGTGCGCTACCAGTTACTACCGGGGCACCATTTCATTCCAACTCAGCTTTTCATGGTATACGTACCATAGCTTTCAGCACTCACACGTATAACGTGTTGAGCCGGTTAGCCGATATCGGCAATGACCGCGAGGCTGAAAGCTTTAGCAATGAATTTTGACTTGTTTTGTTGTTAAGCTATGGTACGTATACCATGAAAAGCTGAGTTGGGATGAAATGGTGCCCCGGTAGCGTAACTGGTAGCGCACTTGCCCGGAAAGCGAGAGGTGCGGGTTCTAGTCCCGCCTGGGGCGAAAGTTTTGTTCACAACCCAGCATTCTTGTGGTTATCACTACTGTTCAATAAACACGCTTGAGTAGATTGTGAGGTAATGGAACTAACTTGTTTGCCATCGTTAATTTTCACCAGAAGTTGGTCAAAGTAGATTTTTGGATCCTTCACTATCGCTGTTGTGTAATCATTCGTTAACTACTTGGAATGTTCATGACAAGCCAAATAGGCAAAAAATATGATGCAGTCCAAAATTGTGACTTAATATGACAATAAGAACACAAAGTGAAAAAGCACCCTTTAAAAAGGAATTTTGAAAAATGTCTGCCCCGTGTGGCCGCATGCGCCACCATGTGGCGCACGATGCGCAATGCACGCGCGGCCATGCGAGCTCGCCAGCGCAAAAACGGCTTGGTACGCAATGTGTTGAGAAAGGTACTGCAGATAAGCGTGAGGCAGGCAGGTAGGCGCGAGTACCAATTTTCATACTCTTCTCTGGAATCACTTGTGGCTATTTAGTGTTCAGGCTTACCGAATCTCAGCGGAATCCGTCAGCTGATCCTTTGATATTGTGGCTGAATGGTGGACCAGGCTGCTCTTCTTTGGGAGGTACCCCTTTGATAATCGTAATCATTTTTTGTATTTTTCTAGCATATCATCACAGTCAGGGCCCCTGACTCAGGGGTACGTGGGTACCCGACAGGAGGCCCGTCGCGCGGAAAGGGGCAGAGTCAGCGGACGAGTCGCAGCGCGTACTGTAGTGATTTCGCGTCAAGTTAAATAGAATGTACCATTGTACGTCCTACATCGCATCACGCGCTGCGACTCGTCCGCTGACTCTGCCTTCTTGCCGCGCGACGGACCTCATGTCGGGTACCCGGGGTACGTCGCAGCCGGTATGAAAGAATCAATACCACGAGCGCGATGAGATTCTCTCGATGATGACTGTAACAAGTTTATGGGATTTTTCGCTGAGACTTCTACATAGGGGTTATCGAGGGTCCTGATCACGAATATGATGTTCATTTTTGGCGCTGGCGCCAGGTGGCGCCACGACTGATTCCCACTAAATTCGCTGTAAACTTCTGTATAGGGGTTATTTGGGGTCCTGATTACGAATATGACATTCGTTTTTGTTGTTGGCGCTATTCGGCGCCTATTTCCTGCTCGTCTGCGCCCTCGCACTAATTAGATCGCAATCAGGACTAAGCCTTTGAATAGTGGAGGGCTCCAAAGTGAGTAGGCCACTCCCCTGTGGTCTAACACACTCCAACTTTTGCCACACGGTGCGTGGTTTACCCACTCCGGAGTTTCACTCCCCTCCCCTAAGCTTAGTCTTAGGCGCTATAGGTGAGAAAGCTTAGAAAAGCAGAAAATATGCGTTAAACAGCACGAATGTCAAAAACGAGTGTCATATTCGTGATCAGGGCCCCAAATAACCCCTATACAGAAGTTTACAGCGAATTTGGTGATAATCAGTCGTGGCGCCAGCTGGCGCCAAATGGCGCCAATTTGGCGCCAGCGCCAAAAATGGATGTCATATTCGTGATCAGGACCCTCGATAACCCCCATAGCGAAGTTTCAGCGAAAATTATTTTTTGACCCATCTCACCCCCACTGGGGTTGTAATAGTGCAATAGTGCCAACATTTGAGATGAAAAGGAAAAAAAACCATCTGCCTGCGTCTCTTGAACCCTTTTCCTTATCGTCGTTCCTTCTATTTCATTATTGCAGGTCTGTTCGAAGAGCTTGGTCCGTTCAGAGTGAAGGATTATGGAGCAACAGTTTATCTCAATGAGTACTCATGGAATTTGGTGAGTAATTTTCGAGGGCCTTGCTCCGGGAAATATAAAATACCTTCAGTTTGCCAACGTACTCTTCCTCGAATCACCCTCTGGAGTCGGATGGTCGTTTAATACCAATGGCAAGCTAAACACCACTGATGATGAGGTCTCTCAGCATAATTACCAAACGCTTGTGAGTCGATTACTCATGGAATCCAAGTCAGACATTCGGGATCTGACATCCTAAATTCTGAATAATTTCAACTTTCAAGCGTTCTTACTTTTCTTTGAAAGTTTTTTTTTCGCTTGTGAAGTGTGCTACGAGATTACAAGGATGCAAAGCAAATGACGATCAAGCTAACAAGGAATTAGGAGGTAAGCAAACCAGCCCTTTTGGCGTTTCTGCTGGGGCCGTATGCTGAATGTTGGGGAGGGGATGGGGTCCCCGAGGTCGACGGACTACTTGAACTCGGTCGGTACGGTAGGAGAGTGATGACGAAGTGGTGCAGCTAGGTCCAGCAGCTCCGCCAAAAGGGCTGGTTTGCTTACCCCAGGACTAAGCCTTGGAGAGAGGACGGACCTGCGCTCTCTCGCAGGTCCGTCCTCTCTTTAAGGCTTAGTCCTGAGGTAAGCATCAAATTGAGGCGGTTTTAAGGACCGAGTTGAAGTAGTCCGTCGACCGTCGGGGACCCCATCCCCTCCCCAACATTCAGCATACGGCCCAGCAGAAACGCCAAAAGGGCTGGTTTGCTTACTTCAGGAATTAGGCCCAAAAAATCTATTATAACCATGAAAGACACAATTTTGAAACGTGATTCGTTTTTGTCCCCAGACTGTGGAAAAGAGAATATGAGAAGGAATCAGAGAGCATCAAATCAGAACCTAACGCCAGTGAAGATAAAAATATTTCAGATAGATTTCCTGCGGAAATTTCCCGAGTATCATGGAAGAGATACATTTATCACGGGAGAGTCGTATGCTGGAGTTTACATCCCGACACTCGCTGTTAAAATTCTCGAAGATAAAGTGAATTTTCCAAATTTCAAGGTAATGTTCTGATTTCACTCAGCAACAACAAAGCTCGAACATTCCTTCCTATATTGAAGAATTTCGAGCTCCGAAGTGGAGGAAATTGATACAAGGGGTAAACAGACTCATGGAACAGAAGAGCGCGGTTCCCTTTCTTTTCAAGAGCTATAAATTTGTTCTAACCACGATTGCATCCAGGGTAAGAACCGTGTCGACGAAATGATCGCGTCGGTGCGATTCCCCGTTGGGCCGATGTCAAAATCTGCCAATCGAGCGATTCGCTAGCGTCCGCGTCGCGGCCAGTGAATCGCTCAATTGGCTGGTACCGCAACGCGACCGCGGACGCTAGCGAATCGCTTGATTTGCAAAGTCTGATGCCGGCCTCTGTGGATACGAATTAATGTGGGTCTCAAGGTGATAGTGTCCATCTTGACTATGTAGTCATATTTTTATTTTCTCCAGTCCAACTTTCTTTTGGTATTAATGTTTTGATTCACTAGCAACCTATTCTTGTCAAGATCTTTTCCAGTTTTGATTGAAGCTGCGACTCAAAGTTTTTCTAACACCTTTTCAGGGTATAGCCATCGGAAATGGTGCGCTGAATTTTCTCCATAACTACGATACGATGTTTGCGCTTTACTACTATCATGGGCTTGTCCGTGACGAGTACGTGCATTACATGATGATAACAGATTCAGCAGGATCTACTGAAATCAATGTCTGATAGGCTTTACCTTAACTTCTCATCGACATGTTGCGGAGGTAATATTGAGAGTTGTGATATCAAGACTATATTCAACGACCCCCTCTGCTCTTCACTTGCTCTAGAAGTATGTTTTTTTACAAATATTATGTTTAGTAGACCTGAGGGCTCGTTTTGGCGCGCAATGTATAAAATAGGCGTCCGTACCCGTGACGCGAACACGAAAACTGCTTAGCTGTTGCGAAATTGTAGTGCCACTCTGGGTGATTTCATACTTTGCGCCGTTGAGGACGTTGCGGACTGTGCGGATGGTGTGGAGTACGCGCACAGTGCGAAGAGCGTCAACACGCGCTTTGGCGCACAATGCGTGCTTGGCCTACGGTCGGTGGCTTCCGGTCGATGATTCCAATTTAAATACATCCTGCCTATTTTTGGTGTTTAGATAGGCTCAGCAGTGAGCAACGACGATATTCCATACAGAAAAGGAAAACTTTTGAGTGAAAAACGAACGAAAGCAGAACGGCGCACAAAACACCAAAAAGTAGACAGGATGCATTGAAATTGGAATTATCGAATTGGAAGCTACCCATTCTACGCCAAGTACGCGTCATGCGCCAGTGCGCGTGTTGACGCTCTTGGGTACCCCCCAGGAGGCCCGTCGCGCGGCAAGAAGGCAGAGTCGGCGGACGAGTTGCAGCGCGTGGTGTGCGATGTAGGACGTGCAATGGGACACTCTATTTAACTTGACGCGAAATCCCTATAGTACGCGCGCGACTCGTCCGCTGACTTTGCCTTTCTTGCCGCGCGACGGGCCTCCTGGATAAATCTCGGAACGATTCCGTCGACGTGAAATGAAACATCCTTTCTGCCAAATGCACTAGAGGCATCCTACCACACGCGTGCCGCGATAGTCCGACGTGGGCCCTGCAAAGCGCGGACGTATGTGTCTCTGCAAAGGGCAGCCGTCAACGTGTTATGAGAATTACATACCGGTAGCGATTCCAAAAGTGTTCGCTGAACAGGTAATGTTTCGTGCCTTCTTGTTTTTCTTGTCAGAAAAAAAAAAAATACAATGGTGACCCCAAAAAAATTTCTTATGAATACCCTGATTCTCTGAGACTTGAGGATATAAAAACACTAGAAGACATGGTATATCAATCTCTGGAGGACTCATGCTCATGGAGAAAAAATAAAGCACCGAAATCGTATCGGCGAACAATTTTGACCGCTACTGTATAAAGTCAAATCTAATACAAAACCGGCACGCATAGCAGGTAAGAAAGAAGGCAAGAGGGGGAAAGAAGGGAAAAAAAAACTATGAAGGTCCCTACATGCGTCATTTTACTGATTGATCTTAATGAATGCGAGTCTGGATACGATAACTTACTTTAAAAGCAAAAATTGTGAAGGGACGTCAGTGACGGCGCCGCATTTGCCATGCGGTGGGCCTTTGTGACCGCTACTTAACCCTTTGACGACCGTGTGGCCCGCCGGTGGGCCACACTTTCGCTCGGTGGCGACACGTTTTTAGGGGTTTATTTTGGCATTTTTTGTTTCAAAACTACACAAATACATTATCGAATTCGCGGAATAATGCGCTAATTACTAATAGTGAAATTGTTGGAGAGTTAATTATTATTGATGAAAAAATTTAGAAAGAAGTAAAGTGACGCATTCATAACGGCGGTCGTCGAAGGGTTAAAGACATAATGAGTAAGAACTAGCCTCCTTGAAAGCACACTGTATCAATCGAGTCGTCGAGCATTTCCCTTCGCACTCGTTTTAGAACACTGTTTGACGACTCCTTATAAAAGTGCTCTGCACTTCTCCTTGTTCTTCTTGATCGCGAATCCTGGTCTGGATGGAAAATGAGCGCGAGTCCGACTAGATCTAAATTAAAATAAGATGCATATCATGGGGCTACGGAGCAGTAAGCCATGTATCGTCAAGAAAATGGAAACATGCACACCTTCAGTTGGATGGCGTGCCGAAATTGCAACTGGGGCAAGATGAAATGGTTCATCATAATTGTGCCTTGGCTCCGTGATGCCAAGAACATAGCACAAGGCTTCACCTCGACGAAGCCCTTCCACTACAAAGTGCATGGCGAATGTAGACACCGTCGGAAGAGTGACG